AGCAGTATTAGACTGCTTTGTTCCACCAAACCAACCTCTCTATTGGTTAAAACTAAGTCCCAAGATGCTCTAAAGTTATTTAAATTTCATTACTTGCCAACCAAAAACAACTAGAACAAGAATTAACAAAAGCAGTCCAAAACAGAAGCGAAAAAAACATATATAAGAACAGATACTGTTATGAAATAATATATTTGTGCAACCAAATTAATTTAACTTAAATTATTCCTGGAACTGAATTAGGGATGCAAAGAACACAGGCCAAAGAGATTGAGTAAATATAAAACTTGCCTGTGAGATTTGGTTCAAAAATCTCAATGTCCTTCCTCTAAGTGTTTCTAGAAATCCTTCAGTTTTGTCCCACATTTCTCTCTACGTTTCTTGTTTCCAGTATGCCGTGAATAAGATTTTGAAAGCCCTAGGCAGATGCTCATTACATATATTTATAGGTTTTCACAAAACCCTAATCCATGTCTAATTCGGCCCATAAACAAACCTAGGATATACAATGTCGGCTGCCTATGAAAACTATAAACCCCATGAAAATATATTCACGTTGCCAACTAACTAAAACCAACTAAATGTAATTTAACTAATCTAATTAAATTTAATTTTAACTTAACACAACTAAATCCATAAGTAAGACAATTAAATAAATTAACTCAATTACATGCAAGTAACCTAAACCAGTAATCACATGCAACAATTAAATCCGTCACCAATCCAATTAAATTAAAGCAAAACAAATTTATTAAACAATTAAAGACAAAATAAAAACTCAATTAATAAAGTCAAATAATACAAACAATTCAAGTAAGTCAAATAAGTCAATAAAGAATTTAAAATTTTAATTAAAATAATAAATTAAATACCAAGACTATCCTTTTGAAATTAGGAGTATTACAAAACCTCAAAATGAGGTTTAAATAAGGGTTAAGTGCAAAAAAAACCCTTCATAATATATAAAATGTGTAATTAATTCTTTACTGTTTTAAAAATTCCCCTACATTTTACAATTTGTGCAAATAAGGACATTAGGTCAATTTAGCCATTGAAATGTCTAAAATATCCGAATAACAAATTTTTAAAAATATATAATAATAAAAATAAAATTTTCTTTTCTTTTTTTTTATTTTATTTTTATTTTTATTTTTATTTGAAAGGTCTCTCTTTCCGGCCACTTTCATAGTTTTATTAGTACTTGGAGAATAAGTTTGTTGTTTGTTTTTATTAAACGAGTGCTATTTGGAGAATTTATAGAAATTACCAAAGAAGTTCAGTAATTCACCTGTAAATATTAGAGTTTCTCAAATACTATAATATAAAGTGATTAAAAATTAAATATTATCTTCCCTGTTAATATTCAAGATTCTTTTATCATTTATTCTTCCATCCATAATAGATTATGTTTTAACTAATTATATAGATTTGGGTTAATAACGGCGAAAATGGTGATAAGTACTACTCACCAAAAGATGGATAAAAAATAAAAGTGAATTTTTTTTATATAAAAATAAGGTGTTTTGTCTTAAGCTAGTTATTTATATAGAAATGGTTCTCTTCATATTATTTATTTATTTTTTGTTTTTATCGATCTATGATCAATAGGATGGGGCCACCACACCTCCTCCTCAAGTGTATTCACATGTGAGTTTGTCTAGAACAATTATTTAGTAGTTAATACATTGATTTAATTTTACTTTCTAATAGAGTAGGTGATGCTGGGTCAATGCTCATCCCATAATAAAGTTGTAAATCACTTTCCTATTACCCACTTGTGAATAAACAAACCTCATGCCTACACCTCAATTTCAATTTCATGAACAACTAAGTCAACATTTAATATTGACGTTATTAAATTTATTATTCATCCATGATTTCACACATAAACCATTTTTATTTTATATAACATCTAAATAAAATAGTAACAACATAATATCATTTTGAAGCTATTCTTAAAGTCACTGTCTCATGGTTTTGTTCATCATGGTGGGACCTCAAGTCTATTCTTTTATGAATTTATTTAGGACAATTATTTGCCGGCCAATACATTGATTTGACTATAATAGGTGATGCTGGTCAATGCTCATCCCTTAATCAAAGCGAGGCCAATTGTGAATAAACAAACCTCGAAGAGGTTTAATTAATAAGTGATACTTTGTCCAATCATTTAAGGATTTTTTCAAAATGAGATGAAAATGTGATTCTCACTTTTCAATTGCCAATATTTAAGGTTTATGATCTGGCAGAAAGGGATTGATGAATCCTAAGAGTTGACTTGTGTGATAACTTACTTGAACTTAGTGTCTCATAAAATATCATGTAAAACAATTCATTGAGATCAGGTCGCATATAAAAATTTGACTTTTATCCAACCCGTATGAAGGGACACTTTGCATGGTATTCCAGAAATTTAATAGGACAAAGTACTGGTAGCCCAGTTACTTGAACAACAAAGAGATTGGTGCCCTCCATCAACTACTTGACATAACCATCTTCAATCTATCTTTTGCTAACCTTCAAATCTAGTTAATTTACCTCTGTATTATTTTGTAAGCCATTGGAAAGATTGTCATATCTGTCCGAGTTGGAAAATTTTGTTGATTTTATCCCTTGAGATGGAATTACACTAAGCTGGAAAGATTTTTGAGGCCTTGGAAAATTAGAATCATTGAGAAGTTTGGATAATATCTCTGCATATAAATAAGCTGTCTAAGCTTAACATGCTTCAAACAGTTTGCATCTTTGCCATTATTTGGAGATGAGTGAGTCCAAAAACCTTGGACAAGGACACATCTGTCAGATTTGAAGAAGTTAAAAACAGTAGTTTTATTAGTTTTGGCCTGAACTTTATGAGATTTGGACCAAATTGGAATATTTAGGTCGTTATTTCAGCCTCATCTTTTTCCAAAAAAAAAAAAATCCTACATCTCTCTCCTCTTGCATATTGGGGGAATATTTCGCACAAAAAATGAATATTTTTTTGCCGTGGAATTAAGATGGACGAAAATATGATTGCAAAACATATAACTTTTACTGAGCGAAAACGTGAGGTTAAAAGAGAAACATAGACCATCGTGACTTGTTTAAGATAAGAATAAAGAGGAGAGAGGGAGGATCTTTTTTGAAAAAGATGAAAAAGAAAATTCATTAAAAATTTTATACTTAAATGTATATATTGAAGTACAGAAGATGTATATATGACACGAAGATGCCTATAAGGCATGGATAAGTCTAATTGACATGAAAAATGCTTATAAAGCATGAAGTACCTCATCATGAAATTATAGAAGGTATATACTCGAATCAAGAAAGAAAGTAGGAATATAATACCTACAAAGCTTGAAGATGATATTAAAGAAATTAAACCGAAATTGTCACACACACACACATATATATATATATATAATGCTGATATGGCCACTGGCTGGGTCTAGATTTTTGAGTTTTGGATAGGAAAAAAAGCAAGAGAAAGTCTTTTGCATTAGATGTAATTATTGTAGATGGGTTGGTAGTGAATCTTGTAATTAAATGTTTAGCTTTATTAATAGTTAGAGAATAAGTTTGTGATTTGTTTTTATTAGTAGACTATTAAACTTGCACTTTGGCATATATAGAATCACCGACGTTTGATGCTAATAAAGATAGTCTGCATTTCAATTATTCTATTTATTAAATAATATAAATTGGTTGGGATGAGCCATAAATTTTAAATTTGTTTTAATTTATAATTGATTTAACTTACTGCATAAACTAATTAAAATTATTGTGTTTGTTTTAATTTATAATTGATATATTGTCCTGTTGACTTGACTGGGAAAGTTAATTTGGTTGTATGGTTGTGTTCCTATCATTTTCCAATTCCAGCTAGAGAATTTGCAGATCCATTTCCCAAACGTCATCGATCGATCGAGAGAGATTTGCAAATCTAATTTGGGTGTATGGGTTGTGTTCCTATCATTTTCCAATTCCAGCTAGAGAATTTGCAGATCCCTTTCCCAAACATCATCGATCGATCGAGAGAGATTTGCCAACCTAATTTGGGTGTTTGAATGTCTCAATTTGCAGATCCAAAGGCCAAACACTGAAGTGTGCTAGAGAGATTTGAGTTTGGTATCACAGGGGGTTGGTAATACTCGTACAAGATTTATTCCATAATATTTTTTCTTATCGATCGGGCAGAAAACAAAGATGACGATTATATCTGAAATGGACGGTGAGGCTGCAGATCCAAGTATTTGAAAAAATTCTCTCTCTCTATTGAGTTGCTTTAGGTGATAAATATGGACCACAAAATGGCGGTTGATATTGTCAGGTTCACAGTGTCTTCATTTGTTTTAATTACGTGCCTGTTGAAGCTTACAACAAATTATGCAGAAGGATTTAAGGAGCACTCACGAGCTCAGTACTATATTTTTATCATCGGCATTTACATTTGGGAGGCCATTCTTGTTATAATACCTTCTACTAGAATCTTCCCAAGAATACGAAGGCAGTTCACAGCTGAAATGGAGTCTGATGCTTCAGCCACGTCCGTTCCTGTTCCAGGAGGCGAATACGAAGTGTTTTTGAGTTTTAGAGGTCCAGACACTCGCTGCACATTCACAGATATTCTATATACCTATCTCATTGACGCAGGTGTTCGCACCTTTCGGGATGACAATGAGCTTCGCAAAGGAGAAGAGATCGGCCCTGAGCTCCTCGAAGCAATCAGGGAGTCCAGTATCTCCATCCCCATCTTCTCCAACAACTATGCTTCCAGTAAATGGTGCCTCCGCGAGCTGGCTCAGATGGTGGATTGCAAGAGAAGCAATGGACAATTGATTCTGCCAATCTTCTACGATGTTGAACCATCGGATGTGAGGCATCAATCTGGGAGTTACGAGGAAGCCTTTCGCAAGCACGAGAGCTGTTTTGATGAATGCACTGTTATGAAATGGAAGGAGGCACTCAAACAGGTTGGAGAACTCAAGGGTTGGCAAGTCAACAAAGAAGCTGATGGGTATGTTAATCCCTTCCGTATGTTAAATTCTTTGCATGTCTTTATAGGAACTTTATAATAGCATTGGAATCCAATAAATGATCAACCATTTTAATACTATCAAATTAGAGGGACAAACACAAAATTATACTAAGAAGAAAAACAACATAATAATTGTTGGATTCGTGAGTCAACTACTCGTCCCTAAGTTAGAACACATCAGTCATTATTTTAGCTGCTTGTTTACGTCTCGGTCACTAATTATTTTTCATTTTCATCATGACATTAATCAGGCATCAAGGGGAATTAGTAAAAACGATTGTTCAAACAGTGTCGTTGAACCTGAAGAAAAAATGCATGGTTACATTTGACAACTTAGTTATGATGGATGATCATCTGAATGAAATGATGAGATTATTAAATGTTGGTTCAAATGATGTAAGGATTGTTGGTATCCATGGCATGGGTGGTATTGGCAAAACAACTATTGCCAAGTCCATCTACGACAAGCTCCTCCAAGACTTCGAACATTGTTGTAGCTTCCTTGCAGATGTTCGGGAAAATGTCAAACAATACAAAGATAAAGGTATTGTTGATTTGCAGAACCAGCTTCTCAATGACACTCTTAAACCGCCCCCTCCCATTACTAATGTTAACGGTGGAATCAACACTATCAAACGTCGATTTCTCAATAAGAAAGTTTTCATTGTTCTTGACGATGTGGATGAAAAGTCTCAATTTGATTGGCTTGTGGGAAATCGTGATTGGTTTGGTCCGGGAACTAGGATCATAGTTACAACTAGAAACAAGCATGTTTTAAATATTCTTGAAGTGGATGAGACTTACGAACCTCCATTCATGAGCCCAGACCAATCTCTTCAACTTCTCAGCATTCATGCTTTTCGGAAAAAGTTTCCTCCAATGGACTTTGTTAGTATCTCTAGAGAGGTGGTATCAGTTACTGCAGGGCTTCCTCTAGCTCTTGAGGTTATAGGTTCATTTCTATCTGACAAGCCAAAAACAGTATGGGAAGATACATCGAAAAAGTTGAAGAAAATACCAAATGATGAAGTTATGGAAAAATTGAGAGTAAGTTATGATGTATTAACCCATGAGCAAAAACAGATATTTCTTGATATTGCATGTTTTTTTATTGGGATGGATAAAACATATCCATTTTACATGTGGGATGACTGCCGTTATTTTCCGGAGACAGAAATTAATGTCCTTTGTCTCATGTCTCTAGTAAAACTTGAAAATGATAATGTATTGAGAATGCATGATCAAGTAAGAGATCTTGGTAGGGAAATCATCTGTCAAGAAGATTTTGATAATCCAGAACTGCGTAACAGGTTGTGGATTCGAAAAGAAGCCTAGGCTGTATTTGAGGAATGCATGGTAATAATTTACAGCACTAAATTTTTTTCATTGATTAATGTTTTCTTAAGTCTCTTTCATGTCATCTAATAATACACATGCTCTAAATAATATTCATGGTAGCATCCACATGGGTTCCAATTATGGAGCTAAGTTGTTGACCAACCTAAATTTGCCAGCATCATCTATGATGGGCTTGGACAATTGTCAGCTTGGATTTAAATTGAAAATGGAACTCAATTTAAATTATTTAAAGTTGTGAGGTGAGTATTTATCTAATAAAAAATCAAAATCAAAATCAAAAGTTTTAACTCATCTCATTCTCGTCCGACCAAAACTATCATTTTCTTTTTTGGGGGTTAAGAAAAGAATTTTGATGTTCTTGTTACTACCTAGTACACTTGGTTACAACGGAAAGTAGGCATGTTGTACATTTAGATTGGTGTAGCATTTGTAATTAAGTTGTAGGCTACAATGTCATGCATGATCTTTCAATTATTTCAAGTTATTTAGAATTGTTATAAATGAAAAAAGAATAAAAATAAAAAATGAAGAAGAATTTGAAGAAGAAGAAGAAAGTAAAAAAGGAGTTCTGAATGTTTGAATCAATCAACCTGAATCTAACCCAATCTTAACTCAAAAAAATGACCTTTTATATATATATATATATAAAAGCAAAAATTATCTGTAAACACCAATAACTGTTTCTAAGAAGTCATTAAAAATGGGTATTTTTTTAAAAAATAAGAATAATAATTGATATCTAATATTAATATTTCCTTTTTTTAGCATGGGGCAAATCGTTTCTTTTATTTGTTTACTTATTTTTATGGTTTTTTCATTGACAGATAACTGAAAAGGTCCAACTCCTAAATCTTAATGCTGCTGGAAAGACGTGTGACCATGACAAATTCGCGGAACGATCTAAACTGCGGTATCTCCAAATAAATGAAGCTGAAGTTGTTGCTGGGGATTTCAAGCATCGCTTGTTAAACTTAAGATGGCTTCGTTGGCAAAATTCCCCTTTGCATTTTGAAGCAACCAATTTTCATATGAAGAAACTAGTCATACTTGATCTAAGCTATAGTACGATCCCAGAGAACTGGAAGGGTTGGAGTCAAATTAAGGTATATTCTACATACATTTTAAAATCTTTAGTCTCATAATCTCGGTTCCTTTTTCGTCTCCCATTACATACATACATACATACATACATATTGGAGCATATGTATGATTGTTTCTATATTTTTATGTATCTTGTTAACAGATGGCAAGTAACTTAAAAGTGCTTGACATTTCATACACTAAAATACGGGAGCTACCTGATGAAATTAGAATGTTAAAGAAGCTGGAAATTATAGATGCACATCGTTCTAGATTGAGAGGTAACATTCCAAGTTTTTCCCATTCAGAGAAAAAAAAAAAAAAAAAAAAAAAAAAAAAAAAAAAAACCAACAACATTCCAAGTTGCATTGGGAGATTATGATGTTTGCGATACTTAAGCAGCTTTTATTCTACAGGAATTCGAAGCCTACCAACAAGCATTCATACCCTTGACTTAGGAAATTGCGATGATCTGGAAGCACTGCCAGAGCTTCCCTCAAGTTTACAAGTTCTGCGTGTAGAGTTGCGGAGATTGCATGTTACCCCTAATCTTGCAAATCTGCTTAATCTGCAAGTCCTGCGGTGTTATGAGATTGCTGACAACATGAATCAGATAATTTCCAGTGATATTGTTAAATTATCCAAATTGCAGAGGTTGGACTTTGGATGTAGCAACATTATGACCCTACCGAAAGAGATTGATGCCCTTTCTCAGCTCAAATTCCTCTATCTACGATCATGCTGTAAACTTCAATGTATATTGGGTTTACCTCCCAATCTGTTTGGATTATGTATTGATCGTGTTCTGTCATTGCAAATACTACCAGATCTGTCAAATCTGAAGCTCTTGTCGAAATTGGAGCTTTATGGGTGCCAGAAGTTGACAAAGATTCAAGGGCTTGGGAAACTACAATCATTGATGAGTTTGAGAATAGAACATTGCATTAAACTGATAGGGATTGAAGGACTTGGAAATCTAGAATTGCTGGAAAGTTTGAGAATATATGGTTGCGATAAACTGACAGAAATTCAAGGACTTGGAAATCTAGTATCGCTGGCAAGTTTTTGTATGCATTGGTGCTGCAAAATAGTTGAACTTGATCTGCTCGAATGTTCGGCACCTCTAGCATCCTCGGAGATGAGTGAGTACAAACACCCTGAAAATAAACTAGATCGGTCCAACTTAAACAAGTTAAAAAGATTTCAAGTTGCTTATTGCAGGAATCTCAATAAGATTGAAGGACTACATATATTGGTATCATTGGAATATTTGAATTTGTCGTATTGCTCATCCATGATAAGAATGCCGAATCTATCAAACTTGCAAATGTTGAGACACTTGCTGCTCCGTGAGTGCACGAACTTACGTGAGATTGAGGGCCTTGAGGCTTTGGAAGCCTTGGAGGAACTGGACATCAGGGGGTGCTCATCGCTGGAAGAAGTACCGCATCTGCCAAACACATATTATTTCTGATTAAGATTATGATGAAGATTCTGATGATTATGATGAAGATTTCCATTGAGCTTGGTTTGGTTCCCCTTCTTGTTCTACAGATTGTATGCAGTACCATGTTTTTCCGGTGCTCAAAGTATTCCATCATTGTGGCTTTCCTTTCCTTGATTACTTGCTCATTGTCTTTTCTTTTTGTTTATCAATTCAGGTTCATATAGGAAACTAGGTGGAGTAATAAACATTGGTGAAAGCATAGTATCAAAAGAATACTCTTAGTAAATGCTCTCTCATGAGTGAACAATATTAGGCCTCTGGAAGATCCCGCTATGAGGTCCGGAAACAATACATAGAGATAAGTGAATGACAATATGTTTGTTTCTTATCCTCTTCTCCTCATTGTTTTCAGTACTCTATTGGTCTGTCCCTGTTCATATATATAATGGCTTTGCTTCCATAGAGGTGAGAGAAGTGAGCTTCTTTCTTGTATTGCAGAACAGAAATTAAGGGAGTCTGAAGCAGGTTTAATTACTAATTTGCACTCATCATCCATGTTCCTCTTTTGCTCAACTTAAATCTTATTTGTAACTTCACTTTTATCATATCTCCAGACAATTAAGTGAGGACGTACAAAAAGAGGTATAAGGTGAATCCACAAGCATTATGAAAGAAATGGTAGCTTACATTATGGAACACAGGGATGGCTACAAGCTTGTCAAAAGGGTTGTGAAGAATAATTTTTAGATGTTTACTTAGATTAGACAGAGAGGTTTGATGTATAAAAATAACTAAATAACTATAAAAATAAATGAATAACTATTGTACGTAGTTAGACAGAGAGGTTTTATGCATCACTTTTTGATTAATTAAATTCGTACATTTTCCTCATGTTCATTCCATTCATTAAAGCAAAAAGCCAAGTTTATTCTGAAATAGTCAGATCTGCTAAGTTTGTGAAGAGTATATATTCAATCCAATACATCGTATCACAACATCTAATCTTGCCATGCACATGGCTTTTTAGCTCATTCATTCACTCTATATCTATCTTGTATTTAAAGAGCCCACTTTCAACGACGATGTATTACAATAGTCACCGTAAACAATCCATAAAGAGAATACCAATAGAGAATATATTTTATTTCCAGCAAGTCTGCAAACTTTTCCACAAGACAGCAATGAAAGAGAGGGAGTGAGGCGGTAAGTGGAACTTGTATGGGTTCACTTCTTTATAATTGATACTAATGGGATTACAAATTCCATTAAAAAAAGAAAAAGAAAAAGAAGAGGAGGACCCATTGACTTGATAATGCCAATTTGATTACAAATTCTATCAATGGTATCATCCTACGAATTATAAATTATAGAGAAAAAAATATATATTTTAACGAAATATAAATGACATTAAAATAGATCGGAGGGGTGTGTTTGAATTGATTTGAAGTGAAATACATTTGAAGAGAAATACAAAGAGAGGAAGAAGAAATATATTTAGTAGATAATCCATAGACTTCCACTGGCAGTGATGGCCTATCAAACGGGGTTGATGACAATGTTAATTGTCACATGAACGATATTATTTTTAAATATTTTATTATTTTTATTATTATGATGATGTGACAAAATATACATCATAGATTGAATAGAATTAAAACTTGTCATTACTTGATGAATTTAACTTAGGATAACCTAAAGGAATTTTAACTTGGAAGATCTTGGTCCTTTGAATATAACAAGGGCGTTTCTTGCACTTTATCTTAAAAAAAAAAATTATAAATCAATAAATAATATTAATACTATTTACCTAAAAACAGAATGATTTGCTTAAAAATAACTAACTATAAAGAAAATAAAAAAAAAAAAAAAAAGAATTATGTAAATCCCTATTTATGGTTGGACAATTCATAGAAAACTAACCAAACTCAAGTAACCATCATTCATTATATTTGAGAAAGATAGTAGAGAGAAACAATAAATAAAAGTAATTTTAATTTTGTGAATTGTGTGAAGAAATCACTTATTCACTTGTTTAAAATCACCCTCCTATATTTTTCCTATGTTCCATTCTAATTCTAAACAAAAAATAAAAATTAAAAATTAAAAAATTAAAATTGATTGTCATAGAGAATATCCTAAAATGAAACATCGAACAAAATTAAACTTGCACCCCATCCCAAATGTAACATTTAGCTCATCCTATACTACATTAAATAGAGAATGGAATACCTTTGCATCATTGTTGTATCCCCAATTTAATGAAATTGGGCACCTAATTTCATGTTTGTGATATTGTTGTATCCCCAATTTAATGATTAGGATGTTCAAGAAATAAATGAATTAGAAGTTAAATCCAGTAACAAAGCTTAAGATGGCAGAATTTACTTGAATGCCGTTAGTTATAATACAAGTAGGCATTACCCAATCTCTTACCTAACCTTTTGCAATATTTTGTATTAAACAGATAGAAAAATAGTGATAAGAAATCAAGGTCATAAAACAGATTTTAAGTGAACCACTAGGCTCAATAGATGCCAGGACCAATCTCTCCTGAACTATAAGTTGAAGTTCCTTGCTCTAATGTCACAAAAAGTTTCCTGCTAAACAGCAGTGTGAAACTCAGAAAAACAAGCTGGTTATTCATAATAATGCAACTATATCATGTCATGATAATTGGTCACAAAACTCTCCACAAAATGATGCTTAAATTGTACAAATTGAAGTAAATCAATCTAAAGCATAAAAAGCAAATGTCTACCATGGTTTCTTTAAGGGGGAAAAAAAAGAAGAATCACTAATAGGACTTTGCAATCCTTCAATTGATGCCGTTCTTCCAGACCGAATGGATGCTAGCGGAACTTCTCATGAGCTGTATTTAGTACTGCCACTGCCACTACCCCATACAACTACCATATAAGCTCCACATGGTGATTTTCTATGGACTAGTAATACAATATAGTGAAGCTGTTCTTAAATTCCACAAATATTACAACCATTCATGTTCTTAAATTAAAGGGAAACCCTTGAAATTGTATCTTGCCTTGACTTGCCTCGACGACTTCAGGAATCACATTCTGATACTTGCTCAAAAACCTCCCCACAAACATCTTTTCAGTCATTTTGAGTGCATATATTAAGCTCAGGTCTTCCTCAATCAGATTTTTCGACATCAAAAGCTGTAGAACAGTACACCATCCTCTTCTCCAAGCTAAATAGCAAAAGTATTTGATTTCCTGATCTTCTCCTTTGAAACAGTCATACACAGTGGTTTTAACTTGAATGCTGCCATAATGTCGACTTCTGACAAACCAAAACTAGAATAAACTCCCAATTTTTGCTCCCCGGGTGATTTTCTCATCATTGTCATTGAATGCATCGCTGACATGAATAGCAAATTTGTGGGATCAAAACCCATTTTTTTAACATTGCTGGCCACCTCGGTAAACATATCATTTTTTAAAAGTAGGAACTTTGGATTATTCATAAACCATTTTAGGACTAATGACTTGGGTATAAACCATTTTAGGACTAATGACTTGGGTACACCATGATTCAACAAGATTGCAATATTTGGTTCCAACACCTTCTCCTACTTTAATTCAAGTATTCCATAGCACGCTTTGATTGCTTTTAAGACATCCTCATTGGTGCCAACAATACGTCTAATGACTTGAACAGCAGGTATGATTTGGGTTTCAAGGCTTCTTCAAAGGATATAAGGTACAGATGACAATAACTCTGCAATTTCTGCTTCTGAAAAGCCCAAAGATTTGAAATACTCCAACTTCGGCTTAAAGGTTTTTTGACAAAAAAATCATTAAGCCAAAGTTGGAATATTTCAAATCTTTATTTTTTCTGCTGCTGCTGATAAAATAAAAAATAAAATTACTGAAGCACGTTCAGATCGGCAGCAGCAATTGAAACACAAATGCATCCAACACTGCCAAATGACTACACAATGTGCTGTGCATATTCATGATAAAAGGCACCATCTTCTGGAGCTGCAAACACACAAGTGCTTATTCAACATAGATAACATACTCAACAAACAAGTGTTTATATGAAATACAAGGAAAGTGGAACTAATTCAAAAGATATTAGTAGCATCTTTATAGTCTTTCTTTATTGCCCACCTCCGTAGCTTATATTAGAAAATTAACAAAAAATCGAATACTTCAAATTAAATAATAAAATAAATTTCTGGATAACCTTATATCTCTATATTCAAATAAATAGATAGCTAGAAGCTCTCTCTTTAAAAGAGAGAAAACTTTCTACCTCTCTCTTTAAAAGAGAGAAAGCATGGACGTCCCATATTTCTCTTTGGCTTCCTTGTCAAAAGGATCCTCTCCCAAATATATGTAGCTATAAGACCTGCACAGTAGTTCACTTTCAACCTTGCTCACCACCTCACCCATAACTGCACTCACAAATAACAACTTTTTTGGTTAAATTCAATACTGGCCAAATGCATAGCATGTAAATTCTCGCATCCCAAGGGCCAAGGACTTGCTTGATGGAATGCTGATCTAGTGATCAATAGGGATTAAAAAAGGGTATCAGATTCTGTATTTGCATGGGACTCTACAATTTCTCAATGTTGCACTCATTGACACATCAGTATTACAGTTTTTTCTAAGTTTCAGCTGAAAAGGGACCCTAGATCACCCATGTCATGTATAAATCACCCATAGCCTAGGAGATGAGGGTACCGGGGCTTTAATTATATCCTAAGACGGCACCTGAGGAAGATAAAAATACCTACGATTGAGTTCTGATTTAGAATAAGCTCATTGTCTCACAATAGATGAAATGGGCTTTATTTATGATACAATACCGAGTCCTCTTGGCATCACTTGTCCCCAGCTTCAGAACCAACAATAATATAAAAAATAAATAAATGAGTAAATAACTTATGAATGTCATAATTGCCTTCTTTTTAAAGCAATTTTAATAAGATCTTATTAAATGAACATAACCCATAAGAAACAAATATGACAGGCTTGACAGCCACAGCCACCTACCACTTCCACCCCAACCACGGCCACCTCCTCCCACCATGGGCACTGTCCAGTGCCAATTTTCCATCATCACAACCATCTCTCTCCTCTCCCTCTTCTTCCCTCTCCACCTCCTACACCCGCCACCCACAAAGTATGCTGCCCAACTCCTCCATCAATTTTTTTTTTTTTTTTTTTTCTTCTTTCTAAACCCTTATTACACCATTTGGTTCTCTAGTCATTACTTATTTCTTTCTTTTATTTGAGGCTTTTTGTAATCCCAGTTATGTAAAAGGCTTAAATCACTTCAAGCATGACGAGG